ACAGTGGATGTTTACGTTGCGTTTTGGATTCACATGCGGAGTGTAAACAATCAGTGCAGAGGTCACTGCTTAAATTTCCAGTGTTGGCATGGCAAGACTCCTTCGGAAAATACCTGTGGAAGAATTGTACGTAAAAGCTGCATTAGGCCATGTTGATTTGATTATATGGATGACATCCGCGCGCGCATGAATTTTCGGCCGTTTTTAACCATACTGTAAATCGTACAAAACAGTTGCAAAATGAGCAAAAATATACCATAAGTTACAAATAAAAAATAATAAAAACTACACCAATGTCGTAGTATACCAAAATCAAACGAAAAAAGACGAAATTGTAAAGAAATGAACTTGAAGACTAGATTATTCGCCAAACCATATTCTGTGCCATTTGTTCAACCCTCATGACCACGTAGATTTCATAATGAAAACAACTTTTTTTTTTGTAAAACTTTTTTTTATTCGCACGCTCGCATCAGTTTTGGGGCTCCCGGAGGATGTCATCCATATAATCAAATCAACATGGACTTATGTAACATTATGACTGTTACATGCTAGAGAAAATTGCAAGCCAGTACATGTGTAGGTCTATACCCTCCCCTGATAAGTAACGGTTAAGCCCGGAATGGAATATCGAGGTCAGGAAGGCTTTCCAGAGGGGATAGGGTAGTCTGAATCAGGGTTCCAGAGAGGTGGGACGTGAAAATAAAGCCTGGCAACTTGCAACCTGAGTCTCCGCTTCTTCAATGGGAATTAATAATTTAATAAAATTATTTCTAAAATGACTTTTATTGACAAGTATATCTGACGAACTCATTTTCATTTTCTGACGGAACAGGTTTGTCTTGAAGTAAAGAGAGAATAGTGAATGACAGATCCCACAGTTTCCTGTAATCATGATGAGCATATAGTGCAGATATAACTTTCTGCCTCTTGCAACACTGGCCAAAATACGCACGTTTTAAGACATACGCATGAAAGTAACTTATCTTATCATCAGACCTTTCCATGATTTTATTACGTTTGAACTGTTCATAACCAAGAACAATAAACATTAGCCTCTGAACACTTGAAGAAGCCACACAGGCGAAACCGGTCGTGTGACAAGCTGAATAAAAGTTCTAAATGGGAACTATGCGGCTCCAGATGTCTTTCTGAGGGACGACTGCGTGTGCAAGATGTCGGTAGCTTGAGGAATGAATCCCCTCTACTATATACTGCATACTTCTCAATGGATGGATCCTCGCTGAGTATCTTCTGGACTTCCGGACCCAGAGTGATCCCGTACATCTAAAGGAAGCACCTAGAAGCAAGTCGAGCCCTCAAAACTACGCCCCTGGAAGAAAACACCGCCGCCACGTCGAGCACAAGGAAGACACTGAAGATACCTTTGCCATGAGCCAGTGCGCCACCACATCGCTGCCCACCACATCCAAGAAAAGGAGAACCCTGAGATTTCTACGTGTTGTTCAAGCCCCACAAGTTGCTGAGGATCCAGAGCTACAAAGTCAGAGCAACAATAACAGCCAGGGGAGAAGACTACACTTCGAAGAAGATGGATTTGTCTTTATTTTTCGTTTTGTGTAACATGGTAAACAAGACCTTTATGACATGTTTAATTGTTCTAGAACAATAGATGACGTCAGGTAGTAGGTCAACCAAGGTCAAAACGAACTATGTAACAGGTCAGGGCGATCTGAACGCCATGTAACTGACCTGAGGGCACTATGCACTGGAAAGGTATATAAGTGAGAACTTCATGCACTTGTGTCATTAGCCTCTGTACACTTGAAGAAGCCACACAGGCGAAACCGGTCGTGTGACAGGCTGAATAAAAGTTCTAAACGGGAACTATGCGGCTCCAGATGTCTTACTGAGGGACGACTGCGTGTGCAAGATGTCGGTAGCTTGAGGAATGGATCCCCTCTACTATATGATACATAACCAAGAACAATAAACCTAATAAGACAATGAAATATTTAGGGTTCGTCTCGGATATTTTCAACTTATACAATGTACTCTATCGATACCGTCCTGATACTACACTGTTGTCAAAGAGACTCTTTCTAACTCAGGTGAGTAAAACAAAATGTGCCAAATTATAAATATATGCACTGCTCCCTGTAGATTTAGACGTTGCCTGATAACAGGAGGAAGGAGTGAACTATTCTAAGCTCCTGCAGTACGTGTGCCCACAGACAGGGTGAGGAGGTCAGGGTTTGTTGGGACGGCGGGAGGGTCATGGAAAGTTTACTGCACTCTGAGGGCTAGATCGATAATTCCGTAAATAATTTCATCAGGTTGGTAAATGACTAAATAGCAAAGTTCTTTTTATCACAACCATTTATTTTTCAAGCCGACGTTTCGATGACCTTCTGTCATCTTCATCAGGGCGATTCCTTGAGAAGATGACAGAAGGTCATAGGAACGTCGGCTTGAAAAATAAATGATTGTGATAAAAAGAACTTTGCTATTTAGATCGATAATTGTTTTGTCAACCTAAATTTAAGGCTGTTAGATTTAAACGAAGAAGGTATAATACTTTTAAAGCAAATTTGATAGTTTCAAAACATTACACAGGATTTTGTTCGCTTTTTAAAAGATTAATACACGCACAAATCTCAGTGTCTCTTTGTGTGTACGTGTGTGTGTGTGTGCGCGCGCGTGTGTGTGTGTATTTGTTTGTGTTTGTGTATGTGTGTTTTCGAATCCTACACCGTTAACCCTCAACAGAACACCTTCCCGGACTGATTAATCTGTACACCTGGGGTCCGCGCGGACCCCAGAACGGTTTTTTGCTAATTTTCAGAAATTATCAACATGCTACCAGCTCAATTGTTTTGCAAACTGATGTGGGAACCTCTGTGTCCACATTAAATACAAAAATCATACATTTTTAACTTTTTCTATTATTTGGTGAAGAAAAGAAGACAAGAAGAAATAGTTCAAATACCAGATTTTTAAACCCATTTCAGACTGAAGGGGCTTTTGAAGCCCAACTTTGACCTCAAATAGCGGCTAAACGGCTTGCGCTGGAAGTATCAAATTTGGAGACCTGTCCTAAAATGTCTCTGGTAAAAAGTTCATATTAGTTTAATACTAGTAAGTTGGTGTTTTTTTGTGTTGCCATGGCAACGGGTTTCTAGCAGGCAGTTTTTTTTAATAGAAGTAATTTTGGTTTAAACATAAAAATTTTCTCAGTTTTATATTAAATTACACTTCTTTTCCAACATCAATAACATCTTACATAATCAAATATAAGTTAAATCATTTAATATGCATAGAATATGCTAATTTGATTACGTCATTTGTCAAAATCCAATATGGCGGACTATATTATTAGCTCTGATGTCATATGACGTCATAATTACGCCAAAGTTATTAAAATTTAATTCTATTACTACATCATTCTCTGCTTACTTGGTAAACATACGATGAGTGCATAAAAACATATAAAAACGGAAATAAGGTAATGTATAAGAACGCCACTGTATCCATTATGATCGAAAGCCGGCTGGGGTCCGCGCGGACCCCAAAAGAAAATCAGATATAAGTTTTTTTTTTTTATAAATGGTAGAAACGGAGTTTTCTGCACTATATTGAGAGACAACTTTGTGGGTGACAATTACCTAAAAGTTCAGAAAAAAATCTTTAGAAACAAAAAAGATATTACAGAATATATAGTGCTGGGGTCCGCGCGGACCCCAGGTGTACTGTTTAGGGTTAATTAGGTGTGTATGTGTGTTTTAAGAGTTGCCATATAGCGTAATATAAGTTTGCCATAAATCTAGTATTAGGTTATTTGATTATATGGATGACCCAACACTGATGCGAAAAAAAGTTTGGCCAAGAAAAGGTTGCCTTCATTATATAGTCTATGTGGTCATGAAGGTTGTACAAATGACTGAACACACAAAGTATTGCATGGTGAATAATAGACTCTTCATTATCATGTCTTCACTTTTTCTTCTTTTCATTTGGAATTTATTGCGTCAAATGACGACATTAGTATTTTTTTATTTCTTTATTTCAGGCATAACTCGCCCATACACAACATACATATAAAATACACACACAATAACATCAGTAAAAGAATAATATAACTATATGTACAGACGGGCCCAGTTATTGCGAAAGAATCTGCTACGGAATATCACTTCAGATTTAAGAACAGATTGGATAATGTTGTTTGATGACTTGTATAGACGGGATATAAATGAGTAACATTGTTTACGCCATGTAGCATCAAATGTGTCAATCCTATTGAATACAAACATTTCACTTGCACTACAAAATCTGGGTAGTGACATTATGATGCGAAGACAGTTATTATAAGCAACTCGACACTTTGATACAATTCTAGAACTAGCTCTGTCCCACAACTGTGCAGCAAAAAGTTGGGAGCAATGAGCTGTAAACAACGTCTTTTCAACATATGAAGAACAATAAGCGAATTTGCGTATAATAGTATTTGCACGGCTATACAGACCTCTTATCTGGGTAAGAATACAGTCGTCGTCACTCAGTTTGTCATTAATGTGAATACCGACATAAACATATGACGTAACAAATTTCAAAGGCTCTCCGTTCAATTTAACACAGGGAAGAGGTTGCTTAAGTAGCAAACGGGCACTTGGGAAATACATACAGCAAGATTTGTTTGCATTAAATAATACATCATTTATGAAGCCAAATTCTTCACAAATATTCACGTATTGTTTCCCAATATTTTTTTTTCAATTTACGTCACATATATGTTCTCTTTGCCGCTGCTTTGTACGATATACAGTGTGGTCTTAAATTCTTCGCACGCGGATGTCATCCATATAATCATACCAACATGGCCTTATAAGAGGTTCAAAGCCCACAGCTCTGTTGTGACGTGTTCAATATTGACTTTACCTCTGCCTAACAGCCACGTACAGGTTCACGTCAGGTCAAGACATATCCTTGGCAGAACTATTAATATCGCCCGTCCCTGCCGGTCAGGTGTGTGGTTCCCATGGCCTATATTGGGACACAGTATAAATTACCGCACACAGAACAAGCCTCACACACATCACGGAGTCTGGACTCAACTCAGCATATGGTGAACATGTGGAAGTTTCTGGTCTTCTTCGCGGCTGTGGTCGTCTGGCTGGACTCGTCACAAGGTGGCTATAGACTTTACATCTCTTCTTTGTGTCATTACACTAGTTATGTAGTAGAAATCTGGAATTGGACAGGAACACATAATAGTTAATGGCATGATGCTGTATTTTATGTAAAGGACTCTAGGAAGAATAGTGATGTATTACCACTAATGGGAGCTTCCTAAACAAATAAACAAACAAACAAAATATTATTGATTACGTCTTTAGTGACCCGTCGGTCATTGTATCAGGTTTGTGACCTTCTAGGGAAATTCGACTGTAGTACTCTAAATGCACAGGTTTAAGTCTGTCCTTTTTAATAGTCCTTTTCGGGCGTTTAATTTGAGCTATTATATCTTCCTTTGGTATCCTGGTCAGGAGAAAACAAGTAGAATTTCCAGTCGTACGCGGTGTACGAAATTTTACAGTTACACCAGGGTCCAAATGGTAAAAAAATATAACTATCATCACCTTTGTACTTACGTTTTAACTTAACGGCACTATCAGTCTAAAACGTTATTGTAAAATGTTCAAATCGTTAATTTTACAATATGGGTAGGCAGGAAGTAACACCTTTGATTTTTGCATTTCCGTGTGTCCAGAAACACAGGGTAACTAGAGTTCTGCGATCTCATGCCTTCGCCAAATGATGTTACCCTTGTGCCTTAACGATTGTTAAGACATTATGACAAAATATTTGTTTTTCATTGATTATGAAAGCAAGATCCCCATTTGCATGGATTACATCAGTTGATTATATCGTTTACCTAATGACAGTCTTTTAAACATGGCTAAACTTGGCTAAAATAAAAAAATTCCTCATAAATTATGCAAATTAGGTCATTATTTAAATATATTATTTTAGTGATGTTCGCCTTTACTTAACTTCAAAATGCAACAAGTATGAGATTCCCCGCAGTAGTTGCTATAGAATTATAGCTTTTTGCATCGATTAATTATGTAAATTAGGCCTATTTGCATAACCAATATCTGGCAATGCTCTCCTTGCTCACGATCACAGATGACACATTTTAGATAATCCTATCATCGAAGGTAGCAAATTTAAATAATTTCTCACTTAATTATGTAAATTAGCTATGGGTTTGCATAACTATCTTTTCAATATGTCAAGCAAAATTTAAGCTACCCAAATACCAAAAATCAGAGCAAACTGTTAAGGGGTCCAAACTCAAATCTTCCCTAGCCCAAGCGCTACCCGCCATTCCAATTTCGTGATCAGATCACGAGATATGAAAATCGGAATTTCAGCTGCAGTACCATTACAGGCCGCCAGGGGGTTAAAAACTAATCATTTCAAGCTCTTATCAAAACCTACCCACCTACAAAATATCAAGACAATCCATCTCAGCCTTCCTGCCTTATCATGTTCACACACACACGCGCGCGCGACCACAAACAGATACACAAACGGCAATGAAAACGAGGGTAACAATTTGGACATTCTTAATACGAGTTCCCAAGAATACTGGCCTCGTTCTTAGCTATTACCACTCGAGTAGCGAAATCTATGTGATTTTTTTGCACTACAGATCATAGTATTAATGATTTTGAAAACGGTTTATTCAAAAGAAGCTAGCCGACGTTTAGGTTGACCACCTGCTACCTTCCTCATGGCGATTATTACTGGTAGTACTTCACACTGCCGCTAGGTGTCTCTGCTGCAGTGTGAAGAATGGGCACGGAGCAGAAAGTCCATGTATACACTGGCTTAGTATTAGCTCCTGGACGGGATTTTTAGGCCACACCAAGTAATTTTAAGGATTGCATCCTCTGGAAACCCTAAATATAATACAAATGGAGGAGAAGGGCCAAAACACAAGATGTCTAGATTTGAAATACACTAAGGGACTACAAATGTTAGGAAACAAATTGAATGAGATAACACAGTGTGACAACCAACAGGTTATCCTGCCCTGTTTTTTTTTCTTTCATCACATCATCCAATCTTGTAATTAATTTTTTTTACTTCAACTTTATTATATTGCATACATTTATGGCACTGTCGTGACTCTTTGATAATAGTTAGAAGAAGCAGAATTTCTGTTTTTTTTTTGTGGGGGGGGGCAGGACTAAATAAAATCAAAACGCGAACGTCATCTATCAAAAATTACTTGGTGTGGCCTCAACCAGTTATACAAACTGTTAGTGAATTATCAACCTGATTAAAATAGTCATGGGCATACGATAAGTGTTAATTTATAATAAATGCTTGATCACTGGTATACCGGTAGCTATCTTGAAATGTCCAGGAAGTTAAACTTATGTTTCGTCCTGTAGGTCAACGCGAGTACCTAACCACTGTCGACGGATGGAACTTTTATAAAGTTCGCGCGGTTGGGGCTATGACTAATACCAAAATCAAGGCCACTTGTGAAGCGACAGGGATGAGATACCCGTGCCACTACTCGGGAAACGATGGGTGTAACCGCTGGTGGGCCTCTGACTGCATCACGTATGACGACGCCGGTGTCATCTGCCATACCCCCGGAGTCCTCTCGGCAAACCTGTGTGGAGATACTGACCATCGTTACTGTCAGCCCCTTGATGACACCTTTGTGTACATCCCTAACTGGCAGAGTGATGACAGCGCTTACGGAGTGGACTATGACACTCACAGCATGGCCCTGCATGGAGCGAACTACAACAACATGTACGCCCTGTGTGCAGGTAAGGATTCAATATTAACGTCTTTATACAAGACAGACAGGGCAGACCTTAAGTTGGGTGCCTTTTTATCGTTGAATGTCGGCAGGCACATAAAGGGCCCATTTATTTATTTATTTAAAGGGTTCATATATTGTTGTAGTTTTCAATACAATAAAAGATTGAATACATAATGGAATTTTGTTCCTTCTAAATGTTGGCCATATTCTCAAGCTGTGACAATTCAAAGAAAACCGGATGTCCAAATATAATAAAAAAGGATATCGACGAGTGCGCCTCCAATCCGTGCCAAAATGGTGGCAGTTGTGATGACGACATAAACTCCTACAGCTGCTGCTGTCTGGCTGTGTTCCATGGAGACCACTGTAAATCTGATATTTCATTTTTCCTACACATTTTCATTTAATTAAAACATATGTCCTAGTTATCCATACTTTTTACTTATTTTATTTAGACTTTGACTGGTGCTCTCAAGCCCAATGTCCACACGGCTGGGATTGTCAGGACTACACGTTCTACTTCCAATGCGTTCGTGAGTAAATGTTTTCACTATTATTATTACTATTATTATCATTTTTAATTTTTTTCACAACTATTATTTGAAACTGTCTTTGCATCTGATTTATGTCATTTAAAAACAATGCTATATCTAATCAATGCTGACTGAATGGCAATTATTCTGGTATTAAGTTTTCATTGTTTAAGTACCCTACATTCAAGACTTTTAATTAGATTATTCATGATGGTGATGATCAAATGAATAGTTTTAGTTAGTGTTCTTTAGTAATAATAGGGGATTGAACTATACAGTGTGTCTAGTTTATTATTTATATTTGAATGGAAGACTTGTTGCGAAATTTCCGATGGTTTATATGCATCTCCAGATCCTGATCAAATCACTAGCAGGATGGCCCCCTACCAGTGCAGCAGTGCCTCCTGTCCGGATGGCATGTACTGCACCGAGGAGGGCGTGGCTTCCTTCTCCTGCAAGACTGTGTGACGTCATAGCCAAAACGTCAGGTACGCAACAAACAGCAAAAGGCTGACCGGCGTGTCTTTCAACAAGCTTTCTCCTCATACTGAGTTGATACAAAATGACAAAAAATAAAGCGCTTCAAAAATCATATTCTTGACCTCTTTCATGACTTTTGTACCGATCCATTACATAACTGTATATAACCGATACATAAATTGACACCTAATATTGCAAGGCTGTGTTTTTGTGGTCTGTCTGCCAATTGTTGTTGTAAAACTGAGTGAGCTTAAACAGAGCAAATATTATGGAGGAAATCGTTCAGACCTAACGACTGTGTTTATTGCTTTATTACATGTCCCGCTCTTAGTCGCCGCCCTCTTAGTGCATGTTAAGAACTTTTGACCAAGGGACTGTACGATATTTACCGTGGGGAGGGCTGGTGCAAAAATGGTCAGGAAAACATTTTTTCGATGGCCCTCCCCCGGCCCAATTTGTTTTGTATAGTCTTTCTATAGTACTTGTATAGTCAACCTGTAACTACCCTGTGCAGGACTTAGTACATGAGGTTTACATGGCTAAGCACGTCCTCCTAGCGACTACTGTGCAAATTGCAGCACCTCATTTAATTTGTGTCCTAACGTTTGTCGTCTCTTAGTATATTTCTAATCTAGGCATCTTGTTTTTTAGGGCCCTTCTTGTTTTTTTTTCACCCTCTCGCATTAGATTTAGGGTCTCCAAAGGACGTCATCCATAAAATTTACTTGGTGTGGCCTAATTGTACATTAATAATTTAAGACCATTCGTAATACAATCAGTTTAACGACATGACAAAAGCACAGGAAAAAACATGAGCATTAACAATCTGTTTAATCTATGCAACAACATTGACCACATTAACAACATAAAAACAAAATATGTACTCCTAACTAAAGCATGTGTTCCAAGAATTCTGTTTCACGAGGCTACCAGACTATTATACTGGGCTGTCCCTTGTTATAGGGAGAGGGCGAGTGGATTATTCAATATATACTACAGCACACTATTAAATAGGGGAAAGCCTGCATGTTTTGCAGCTGGCCTGTACCAAAATGGCGTTTCTCGCAGGGTTAAATGACATTGGGTCAACTTAAACAAACGCTGCTGAGTCAAAATGCTGAAGAGCAACAACATGATAGAACTAAATAAGACACAAATAGTTTATCAACAAGAAAAAAAAAAAGAAAAGAAAATGGCGTCTGCCTAGTTTACCAAAAATGAAGCACTAAAGAACCTTATGATAAAGGTAAAGGTCCCGGGGCCTTTTTAAGGCCATGTAACGCAATGGGTTGCTAGTCCACTGTGTCTAGGGCATCTCTCTTCTTCCACCGCCTTTTACAGAAGTCTGGTACCCATTTTACACATGGATAGAGTGAGGAATTCCGTTCCCAAAGGCACAAGATCGGTGGCATCGGGCAAGATTCGAACCAGGGACCTCTTGGGTCTGAGTCGAACACTGCCGTTGCGCCACACGACACTGATTGACACCGGGGAGGTATAAATGTCATATGTATTAAGGAGGAATTAAAAAATTCCCCTTTCTGAGTATGCTTATTCCGTAACAAAACAAACTTCAGGTAAAAAGCATGGCTGCCATATGCCACTACACCTTTTGCAGAAAAATAGAATCCTTCTTGGCGCCAGTTCCTTGGATATATTTCCTCATTCAGATCGCTTGCTAACCAGCCTTTGCTGACTGTTGCCATATTTCTGTTAAAAATTCTGTCAAAATTCTGATGTTCACAAACTTTAATTATATAACAAACCGTTTCAGTCTCTCCTCTATCTTCCAATCCGTTGGCCACTGTTCCTGTGCATCTTTCCCCAATTCCAGGACCAATTGATTTCTAGGACCATATTGACTCTAAATTGACCTGAATCAAAACTTCAATGACAAATTCTGACATGTAGCATTGTCTATTGTATGCCCTTTAGTGTGATCTTTTTACCTGTACTATCAGAGTTCATACGAGTTCACCGGAACTTTGGAACAGAACCGGCATTCCATTTGTGTTTATTTTGGTCCAAAAGAATAGAGCAAGCTTCAATTTAAAAATATCTGAGGTCATTTGGATGTTTCAATACAGAAATGTGGGGGTGGCGCGACATATGCTTTTTTTCCGTTCGCTCAAAATTCACATGTATTGAAATGGTCTTTACTTTGTTATGTATTACTATATATTGGTCGATGACAAGACGTTAAACATATCCATTCAACTAGGAAACGTGCTACAAATGTCAACAAAAAGAGTCCACTCCCCTGCATAGTGGTTTGCTCCAGGGTGTGCATTATTTTGCAACAAAGCACACTTGTGAGAATAAAGCACACCTCGCAATACTTGTATCATGCTAACTCAGACATTATGGTGTCATAATTAATATGGAATGGGGGCTTCTGATCGCTCAACGCAAACTGACCATATGATAATGATACTTCTTGAATGTCAAAAGCCTTCGACAATTTGTGACGTCTTTGCAGTGCTTTATCAGCATGTGACCTTTATAGTGTATTATCCATTATTATGATATAGCCAGGTGTAATGTATTTTGTCATTATGCCATGGTAATGCACACATTTTAGCTTAAATATCTATATCAGCATTTTATACCATCATCGTCATCAAAGAAAACAGTTGGCTACAAAACTGTGAGACAATGACTATTTATCACACTTCTCCAATCTGTTACTTTCTAAAGCTTATCTAAATCTGTTGCTAAGTATCCAGCTAACTCGACGACAGTGATCTTGTCATCAGCGTTGATGTCAGCAATAGAAGCCACAGCCGCGGCCAGGACAGAGGCATCATGACTCCCCAAGCCGACCGACGCCAGAACTTTTTTCAAGTCGTCAATGTCGATGTAGCCATTTTTATCCTAAAAGAGTACATACAGTTAGCATCTGTGTTGAAAGAAACCATAGGTGTAGAGTTTATATCCTTGTTCCAACACAAAATGGAAACACATCATGAACTTGCAAGCCGAACTCGTCGACCGTCGTCAGATGAATGATCTATGATCGACGGTCGACGAGTTCGGCTTGCAAATTCATAGTGAGTTTATTTTCTGTGTTCTAACAAAGTTCTAGACTCTACAACAGTGGAGTACAGCTAGTTAACACGTGGTATGTGTACATATGGTGTTCGCACTTACGCCGTGCTATCACATATCATTCGTTCTGGCCGCCATATTAGACGCTTAAATCTACACGTCTCGTATCATCAGTTTTCAACGCAGTGTGGATACAAATGATATGTCGGCGACTTCTAACGTGAGTTCTCGAAAAAATGTTAGAAGATGTACTGCTGTCTTTCATTGTCTTACCGTGTCAAAGGCAATAAAATAATCAAGGACTTCTTCCCTTTTATCAGCTTTGATGGCCTTCAGGTCAGTAACCAGAGCTGTGAACTCAGCAAACTCCAGAAACCTGTTTTTGGGAGGCTTGTCGTAATGCTCTATAATTGCCTGGGGTAAAAGGGAAAAAGGAATTAACAAGTGATCTATTTTGTCATCTTGTCTGCAGACAGCACTGTCTGGTGGCATATTTCATGATTGATACAAAAATTAGTCCCTACTAGCCATCAGGGGCACGCTGTATAAAGTAGAAATTGACAAATAGGCAGATAACTTGCCACAGCAGTTACCCAGTGTTGGCGTCACACTTCAAAGAAGCCACGTGACAAGCTTCACTGGGTCAGTCTACTGAGGAAGACCAGAGTGACTGGTCGAAAGTAGCCCTAGGTGAGAGAACTTCTTTGTGTTGGATCTAAAGTTTTAAGTTTAACCCTACCTAGACCGGGGGGGGGGGGCTAAAAGTGCCCGCGGCAACTTTGATGTCACCTAGCGTCTGAACGGCTAGCCGTAGAACGGCCAAACTTGGTGACTTTTCCTAGAATATTGTTGGCAACAATTCTCTATCATTGGAATAAGATAATAATTTTTGTGTTGCCATGGCAACGGGTTTCTGACAGGCATTTTTTGCTAAATTTAGTACTTTTTGTTTCAACAATAGAATTTTATGGGTTTTATGCCAAGTTACTCATAGTTTCTAATATTAATAACATCCCATATAATTTTATGTAAATTTTATCATTAAATATGCATAATTTATGCTAATTTGATGACGTCATTGGCCAAAATCCAAGATGGCGGGCCATATCATTAGAACAGGTATATACAGGTTATTTTCGTTAAAATTTCATCAATACTTCCATTTCTTTTTCCAAAAAAGGTTTAAATGAGGGTCTTTAGTATGTTTACAATGTATTTTAGGCTTTATCATGAAAAAAAAACTATTTTTAAAAATTCAAGATTGATGATCCAAGATGGCGGATATCTTAAATATGCATGACGTCATTTTATGACGTCACCGGTGTTGCTATGGGCAACATAAGACTTAGTACACCCTAATATTCTGTCATAAACACTTTTGGTACAGTTATGTTGAATACCATTTAGTTTTCAGGGAAAAACCTATTTAGACGGTTTTGGCCAATAAAATCACATTAATGACGTCATAATGACGTCATATTACGTCATAACGACATCAAAATTGTAGATATGATAAATTTTTACTAGTACACCATTCCCCAAAATTTGGTGGCCATACGACAT